ATTTTGATAATTAAATAATTTTCAAATCTATATTTACTTGCTTTAATATCTATATTTTTTGACTAGGTCATTTTAAATTGCATTTTCCAAAAATGAATGTATTTTGGTTAAATGACACTTAAATGCAAATATCATATAATTTAACTGGTTAGGTTCTTGACAAATTTAATGAGAATACTATTAGATTAGATAGCGATAAAGAGTTTTTTATATAATATATCAGGGGATGATCAATTCAAAGAATTTAGGTTTTCAAATACTTTTCTCTACTTTGAATGCTCAAATAAAATGCAAATTCTAAGTTGAAGTATTTGATTAATTACAAAAATAGTAATCCAGTTTCAGTAAATGCAAATTAAGAAATAGAAGCGGAACAAGAATTTCTTTGAGTTTATTTGTTTTTATGGAATGTATTATACAAATGATATAATTCATTATTTCAAAATTGTATAACTAAATTTGAATTCTTAAAGGTAATCTAATTAGTAATGATATTTAGAATGTTCAAATATATTTACAGTTGAATTAGAAACAAATATACTAAGAAATCAATTTCATAAAAAGTATACTTTCAAATTTATTAGGAATGGCACCATGAATGAATGATACTTTCATGGTTTTTCTCATAGATATAGAGGATTATTTATTTGAGTAAGTAGAGTAGTAAATTGAAAATGAATAGAATGATTATAATCAAAATTGTTTGCAACCCTAAAATATCTTCTATAAAAACTCTGAGAAAGACAACCTAAAATAATCATCCATTTCAATCAGCCTGTTCTATATAATCCAATTTAGAAATTTCTTCAAATTCCTATTCACTAGGTCTAATGACAAATTAAAAATTAAAAAATTTCATCTTTTGTGTATTTTATTTTTAGTTAATATTTAGCATAAACCTTAAACTTAAAAGTGAGAAAGACACTTCTTAAATTAGCATACATTTACACTCTTGCTATTAGTCTCATAACTATAAATTCGTTTTTTAATGTTGGAAAATATTGTAAATATTGTGAAATTTAATTGCAAGTAATGAAAGATTAAATTTGAATTTGAAAAGCATTTTATCAGATAAGATAATTTTATCAACTCTCCCAATACTAATTAGCTGACTCAGTAATTCATTTGGTAATTTAAAGGATCTTAATTAAAAGCTAAGTTGCAAAATCTTTAGGAATGCAGAATGACTTACTCCATTGTTGTTATTTTATGAGATTATTAATAGCTAAGACGATGATTATAAAATTATACAGCTAGAAATAAATATGGAATATGAAATCATGTACTTTAATTATCCCCAATGGTGGTCTCTTAATTACTTTTATATTCAATTAAGGTAATAAATTGTGTTTTATAAAAAAGAACTCTAAAATGAGTAAGACTCAACTATGTTGACATTTATATAATA